CCAGGAAATTGACTCATCTAAACTTTGGCTCCTGAGTGAAATGTCAGTTGGGGGCTGCTACCTGCCACTGGCTTAAAAACTCTGGACTCTGTTTTCAAAAGTACTTCAAAGCTTCTTGAATAATTTTAAAGCCTTTAAAGAATGTACAAGCATTGGCTTTGGGATCTTTACAGTCTCCTGGTAGTTTCTTTTGACAGCCTGACAGCAGGATTGGGCCTGGCGTTGTTGCCACTCTTCATGGATATTTGCGTAAGCCAGTGGTCCAGGTGTCTGTTTGTATAAAGAAGGGAGAGGCACACTAGGAATTCACCATGAATGACACATTATTTAAATAAAACAGGCCTGTTCTTTAACTGTAGCCAAAAAAAAAAAAAAAGTCTCCTGTCCTCACTGGAATACATTCAAAACAAAATCGTTTTCTCCCATTCAGGTGTTTTGCTCGTCGCGTTTGTTTGTGCCATTCAGTTTTTAATTTTTCCAGGGTAGCAGCCTTCAAGTATGAGAACTAAGCTCAGTGCTGTGATCTCAGAAGGTGGAGAGAGGGTGGGGGGAATCTACCAGAAAGCTCTCCTGGTTTTATAAAATAGGTTTTGCCCTGCGCTTCTGTAGCTCCTATATATTACAGTGTGGCTTGTTCATGATTACGTACTGTTGTAGAGTTTTGAATTTTTGATGAAATTTCCCTAGCTGCATAACAGAAGTGCAGAGATTCACAGAGCAGTATAGCTTCAAGTTCTCCAGATTAGTCTACTCCTTTTCTTATTAACTACTACTTACAGTTTCAATAACTCACTCTGAGATATTAATAGTGGAAAGAATAAAAAGGTTCAATTACTTACAAATCAACAGATTAAGAGAGTTTTGAATTTTTGATGAAATTTCCCTAGCTGCATAACAGAAGTGCAGAGATTCACAGAGCAGTATAGCTTCAAGTTCTCCAGATTAGTCTACTCCTTTTCTTATTAACTACTACTTACAGTTTCAATAACTCACTCTGAGATATTAATAGTGGAAAGAATAAAAAGGTTCAATTACTTACAAATCAACAGATCAAGCAGCAAACTGACAAACATGACCAACTTTCAACAACAGATTTCAAGAGACTATAGAGAAGGAAAAAGCATTGAGCAGAGAAGCAGGGCTGTATTTGAATTCAGAGGTGGGGGGACACAATTGGTTAGTGTTACTTGTCAGAACGTCTTTCCCCAAAATTGTAATCGACCCATGTCACCAGATCCTGCCAGGCAATGCTTCTCTGGGTAGCTGCACTGAAGGAAGCCGGGAAAACGTCAGTTAAAAGCCAAGCCTTCTCCATTGTGATCCCAGCCCTTTGGAATTGGCTCCTAATGGAGCTGCATGTTGCCCCCACCCCACCTTCAAGAGATTGCTGAAGACATTGCTCTTCGGAGAAGCCTTTGAATGCAACCTCGCAGGAATTTTTATTTGTCTGTGCTCTGCCATTAACGTGGTTGATTTGATTTGTCTTTGTCTTTACATTTTATTATCTCCTGTTGTTTTGCTGTATTGCTTGATTTCATCGCACTAATAGGACATGCATGAATGCATGCATGCATAAACAAACAAACAAAATGAATGAATGAATGAATGAATGAATGAATGAATGAATGAATGAATGAATGAATGAATGAATGAATGAATGAATGATAGCATTGGATAGTATTCTCGAAGGCTTTCACGGCCAAGATCTGATGGTGTTTTTCAGGCTGTTTGGCCATGTTTTGGAGGTTTTTCTTCCTAGTGTTTTGCCAGTCTCTGTGGCTGGCATCTTCAGGAAAAAGCTCCAGAACATGGCCAAACAGCCCGAAAAACCCACAACAACTAGTGTTGGATAGATTGACAGTCATCCCAGCCCAGAAGGATCCCTCCCAGACACACCTTCTCCAGGCAGCACCCAAGACTGTAAAAAACTCCAACATTTACAGGGCTCAGTGGACAGTTGTTAGTATTACCAGTCCATTGTCACCACCATTATAACCAACATATTAATTTGTATTTCTGTAAGTAAATCCTCTCTCAACCACTGAATTTAGGAATCCAACCATCCTCCAATTTCATCAATGCTGGTTATCTATTAGGTTTATATTTTTTCTTAATTTCAGTGATCTCAAGGCAATGTAAACAGTTTCCCTCTTTATTTTCACAACAACCCTATCAGGTAGATCAGGCTGACAGAGAGCAACTGGCTCAAGATTTTATTGCTTAGTGAGAACCAGAACCTGCACCTCCCAAATACCGATTTGACATTCTAACCAGCAAAACAGAAAGGAAGTATTTTAAAATCAGTTACATATTTTAGTTACCTGAAATGTATTCATTCAACCATTTCCCACTCTTATCTTGCAACTTAACCAAGCCTATATGGATATTTCTGACTTTTAGTGATGATGCTGTGTATAAATCAGAGCTGGGAAATTAGAACAGAGCCAAGCTAGATGTCAGCTTCCGGGAGTCGTCCAAAAAAGCACATGTTTCCTATTTCTGATCTATAAACAGTGCCCCCCCATAGACACCCCAAAAGCAAGAAAGAATAGAAAAAACAACAAACCACCACTAGCCATGTACCATGGATTGACCTACACCACCATGTCAATGAGTAAGAATCGTCTAATGCGAGTGTGCTTTAATAATTCAGGTAGAATTTGGTCTTCAGACTAGAGAGGTCCCATAAAATGTTCTTTCATTTCAACAGTGCTGGGGTTTGGGAAAAAGAGGGAAAATAACAATACTGAGCCTTTTTCTAAGCCAAGCCCATAACTTATAAACACCGTCTTCACCAACTGGCAGATGTTCTCTAGAGATTCTGCTTCTCTAGAGAGGGGCCAGTGGTAGAGTACATCCCTAAAATTTCCAGGTATTGTAAGATAGATAAAAATCCTGGACAGCTGTTGCCAATCTGGTTTGCTAGCACAAGGCCAGATGGATCAATGGTTTGGGTCAAAGCAAGACACTTTCCTGTGTGCCCCCCCCCATGGATGGAATGTGGGGTGGGATGTCTGTAGTCAAAACATGTTTTCTATAACTGAGCTATATCCCCTCCTCTTAGGCATTTTAAGGTACTATCTTATGTAGCTGTACCCAAGAGGTCTACTGAGTTCCCAGAGACTTAATCCCAGGTGTAAGTGCCTATAGAACTGCCCTCCTCCCAAATCAAACAGGGAAAGAGCAGTTCTTTTTACACAAGAAGTTCTCATATTTCTGGCCTGTTCGCTCAATGGACTTCGTATTACTCATTTTTCCAAAGAAGCAAACAAAACTCCTTAATACATTCCAATGTTAAAAATTAACTTTGTGGCATTTATTAGCCACATCAGCTGCTGTATGAGCACCCCTGCTGGTGTATGAGGTTAAAATCAATACAACACAGACCTAAAAGTTACAAAAGCGTGCTAAGAATCACCCAATGAAACCATAAGTGACAACCGCAGCCATAACGCCATAATGAAACAGCATGGTTCCAAAACACAAAAAATGTGTCACAAATCCATCAGGCAAACACATTTCTGAAATTGTGTTTTTTGTTTTACTTTGCTTTTTTATTAAGAAAATTGCTACAGTGATGAGGTGAAAGAAGAAAATTCAGAACAGTGGCACAATTGCTTTGGAATTTGGGTTTGGCCCAACAAAACCTTTCAGTTACTTCTCTTGTGGATCTCTTCCTCGGTTGCACGGCAGAAAACAGTTTGGTTGTTGTGGGTTTTTCGGGTTCTTTGGCCGTGTTCAGAACACGGCCAAAGAACCCAAAAAACCCACAACAACCATCAGATCCCAGCTGTGAAAGCCCTCGAGAATACACAGAAAATAGTTTCTTTACTGGTTGTCTCACTGGCTCTTTCCCTCAGAATCTATTCCAGAGGTTGTAAAACAATCTGGAACCATGGATAGAATATGGAGCTTGTGAAAAATAACCTTTGGAAGTGTAATTGTCAGAATCACTCAGACACCTTGGATGTTGGCCATGTTGGCTGGGGTATCCTAGGCTGAGGGATCCTTTTTGGTCCTTTGAGAAGTGGTACTCTGGCCTTCAGGCAAAAGGGAATTGATGAAGATCACCTTTTCCTGCACCTTCTGCCCTCAAAGGTGTTCTGATAGGAATTCTGCTTGGAGAGATTCTTGCTGTCAGAAAAAAAATGTGGATGTTTCCAAGTGCCAGCGGACTTTCCTCTTTGAATTTTGCCTGGATATTACCCTATCCACAACCCACTCTGGAAAGCAGAATTGCCAAATCTGAAATTGTATTACATTAGTCAAAAATGTGTAAGATCCATGTGTTGTGCTCTATGAGAACAATTGCAAATCACTAGATGTTTGTATCTAACAACAGGTTCCTATCTCCCTTCCTTCCAGGATGTTTGTGTTAGTACAATTCTCACTGCTAAATAGTTTTGTTATTAAATTTGATAATATTAATATCCCTGTCTACAGTTCATCCACATCATGTGAATTGTGTTTGAAGCTCCAAGATTACACTTCATGAGTCTGAGAAAGTAGATTGTGGGCACATGAAATAAGAGGTGTGTTCATTACTGTTACAATGAATTTTGAATAGTCCTGATTCTCAGTTTTCTGGCTACAGCCAACTAACACTATAGAGCTGACTCAGAGATGTGCTAGTTGTAGTGGACCAGGAATGAGCAGCTGTCTCATCTGGAGTAGAAATACCTGTGGCCTGGAGAAAACTCTTTTGAAAACTGCTTATAGAAAGAACTGCTTCCTCAAAAAGATGGAAAATGGGATGATGTGAGAGAGGCGTCGAGTCACACAAAATCCGAATCTGCAGCCCAGGGATATAACTGTAACGTTAACACAAAGGTTGACCAGGACAAAAGCAACCATAAATAGTCTCTAGAACCCCTAGCCTAGAAGGCGTTTGGATTCAGCACAGCTTCGGTTGACCATTGACCAGCTTGGCTACACTCTCCTTCCAGACAACCCTTTGAAAACTGCAACAGCAACCGTGTTTTTTTCGTTTTCTCTTTCAGGCACCAAGCGGTCTTCCAACAGTTGGAAGTTTTGTCTCTGCACCAACGATGGCACCTTACCCAACCGCTGCGCAGGTGTCTCCTTACATGGCCTACAGTACAGCTCCTTCTGGTTATGTAGCTAGCCATGGCTGGCAGCATGCTGGAGGCACTCCGCTTTCACCTCACAACTGTGACATCCCTGCATCGCTGGCTTTCAAAGGCATGCAGACAGCCAGAGAAGGTAGTCATTCAGTCACAGCCTCAGCACTCTGATATCAGAAATCTGGCAGAACAATTTTGATCCACCTCCATCTCTTGTTCTTTCACTTTCACCATAATTCCTTCTTACAGATTGACCTCACTGGGTGATGATATTTCAGACATTTTTCCCCAATGACATTTGGCTTCAAGAAAATCTTTGGGATTCAGTTAAATGTAAATAAGATTTTTAAAACTGATCGCTGTGTTGTTGATCTTTGCACTGTCTTGCATAAAGAAGATCTTACAACCCTCAGAGGGCTTGTTGTGTGACTGTTTCATTGGTAAAACCACACATATTTATTCTATATCAACAAGACCTTCTCAAATGTGCAATTGTTTCAGATTTTGTGAAACTTGGCCAAAGAAAACAAATGGATAACTCTACAGTTCTAAATGACAAAGCGACCAAACTGAAGTTCTCTTCTGTATCATTTAATGGTTTTGCTCTGTTTTCCCTTTAAAAAAATCTTTGGACCAGTGAGCAGTAGTTTTGGTTAACAGATTACTTCTTATAGTAACAAATTATAGAACCAAATGAATACACAGCTCTGTTATTTATCCTGTATTTTATTGTGATTGCAAAGACAAGTACTTTTGTTTTCAATATGTAAATATGGACCTGGGTCATTGTTTGTTTTTCCACTACTCAACTGGTTTCTGTTGTCCTTTTGTTGTTGAGTGGTGACAACGTAGTTATTTGCTGTTCTTTTGCTTCCTCATGACATTCTGCCTTTAATAATTCAAGTTGAGACGGTACATTATAAATGATTTGGGCATAGGGTGCAGGCATCTGCCTCTCATGAAAGACATTTGGCCTTTTCAGCAGAGAACATAAAGTGACACATAGTTAACTCCCAGCAAGTTGAGTCCAGAGAGTTCCTTAAGTTAAAAAAAAAATCTGTTCTGTTTATGGGAAGATCTTAGATCCAGAAGAAGCTCCTGCCAGAGGAAAACAGATTGCAAATCTTGCTAGTTCCTTCTCCTCCTGCAGCCCTCAGTCCCCACAGCAAGGTCCTTCAAACCCCAGAGGCAGTCCAAAGCTCAGTCATAGAACATGCCTTGCACTCAGCCCCTGGAATCTCTAGGTAAGGTAAAGGTTCCCCTTGACATTTAGTCCAGTCATGTCCGATTCTAGGGCGCGGTGCTCACCCCCCGTTTCCAAGCCATAGAGCCCGCGTTTGTCCGAAGACAGTTTCCGTGGTCACGTGGCCAGCGTGACTAGACACGGAACGCCGTGCAATCTCTAGGTAGGGCTGGAAAAATTCTACAGTGGACCCTTGACTTACAGACGGTTCGACTTACAGACTTTTCGAGTTACAGACTTCTCTGGCCGCAAAATTTAGATTCGACTTGCAGCCGGAGAATCGACTTACAGATCAGAAAAAAACCCAAAATGGAACAAAAATAGAATAAAAACTGCCAATTATGGGATTAATCGGTTTTCAATGCATTGTAGGTCAATGGAGATTCGACCTACAGACTTTTCGACTTGCAGCCACCGTTCCAATACGGATTAATTCCGTAAGTAGAGGGTCCACTGTACTTGGACAGCCTTGGAAAGTCTAGCCCACTATAGTGATCTGACTCAGTGTAAGACAGCTTCTTATATGCCTAATAGAGAGGGACTTGGGGTTGGGGAGGACGAGGTTGCCAAAGAAGGGAGGAACTGGCAAAAACCAGCTCTTCCCATTCCACTACAGGGAGCGTGCCAGGGGTGCAATTCCAGTCACTGGAAATTAGGATCCAGACCATTGATTTCAATGGCACTTCAGTATGACTTAACATTATTTTGATTAGGAAAATTTTTATCACACTAAAATAAAAGAAACATGGATGGAAAGAATCTGAACAAAATGGAAGCTTATGTTTAATGTGAATTTCGTGCAGAGTTTGTTTTTTGTTGGGTTTTTTTTTAATCAGCAAAGGGCAGAACCCATCAGGAAGTTCTTCTGTTCAAACACAGCAAATCCACCCAATTACTGTGGCAGTTGTGTTTCTAACAGGCAGGTGAACAATGCCCCAAGTTAACCAAACCACTGTGAAAGAAAACTGTACTGTAACTTGTTGGCTTACCTGTGTTCAGAAATCCCAAACCCCAAATTATATTGTCGTTTTAAAAAAAAGAACATACAACAAAATAAGAAAACTTGTCTTTAATTCCTGCTTTATTGAATGTAAAAAAAAAAGACAAAGAAGAAAAAGAGGAAGCTTTTGGTAAAGTTTACAATATTGTACATAAGCATGTTTCACTCCTAGGCTTAGTGGTGGTGGTAATACAGATATTATTTATAATGTTAATGGAATTCTTTTGTCCCCGTCCCCCCTCCCCCCCGGCATTTCTGTATTTTTTATACAGCAGCATTTCATGGTCACTTGGATTCCAATTGCTCTCTTTTACCCTTTCACATTAACAGCATAATCTTTTCAAGATGACCTGTTCTACTTGGACAATAATAAAGTTGTGAATATGGTTTCAGAAAGCCTCCTCAAGCTTGCAGATATGTGCTGAAGATTAACCACAACAAGAAAAAAAATTGAAAATTGACGTATTTCCTAGCATTATAAGATATTAATATATTATGTATTTTTGTAAGTCTAGTGCAATAATGTAAAAATACACCATTCAATACAGATTTTGAAAGACTGTTTTAATAAAATTATCTCTGTTTCTTCCTAGCCATATTACCCATACTGCTGGAACAGCGAGATAAGATCCTGCCTTTTTTATGAGAATTTCATGCTTTTATTTTACAATGCCAACAAAGATAGATTTCTAAGGCTGCACAAAGAAAATAATATGTGACGTCATATCAATACTTCCTGGGAAGTTTTCCAAAACATTTTTCTGCTGCAATCATTTAGTCATATCATATATGGAATTGAGAATAGTTGTGAGATGCAATTAGTAAGAGCAGACAGAATTTCCGTGTTAACATTTTTAAAATTTTGACACTGCCCATCCCATGAATCAATTGAGTAGGAACTTAATACAAGACCAGCATAAATATGTGGTGCCTGGTAGTGCCTAGGAGTCATCATGAGTCATTAAGTAGTTGTTTTGTGCAGGACAGCTCAATACCTGAGATAAGTAACTTGGATTACAAGGCTATGTATGTTCACATGGGACTAAGTCTCATTGAATTCAGTGGGGCTGATATCCATATAAGCTTGTGTAAAATTGTGGTACTAAAAATGGAAAAGCAAGATAATACATTACAAATAGCTCATCATTAGAACTGAAGTAGCATCAGGATTGAAGAGACATGATTGGCAGTTCTACATGTCTGGGAAAATTCAGACTTAACAAAATGGAGCACGCGTGGGGCCTAAAGGTCAACCACAGAACAAAGCAAGCTAATTTACCAATGACTGGAAAAGAGGAAAATCCCTGTTGTGATAATGACACACAGCCAACACTTACAGAATTCCTTATTTCCATGACCAGTTATGTGTAATATGTAGTTGGGTCTTTAGATAGCAAATGGTTTTAATTTCAGAGAAAGTTTAGATAATACAAGACAGAAAGCCTTTTCAAATGTGGTTGTCATAGCATGCTCCTTTCCAAACGGCAATGGCAGGTTTAGAAGCTCCTGTGAGGCCCAATGGTGGGCCTCACCGTATGGCTTTGTATCATGTTGCTGCTCCAAGAAACCTGCTGAGATCAAGCTGTTGCCAAAATGAGCTCTGTTGTAGAGTCACCAAAATAATTCTGGCACTGTCCTCACAGAATGAGCCACAAACAAACAACTCCGATGTTGCAAAGGCACCCATTATGTTCACGCAAAGAAAATGAGGCATGTATAAATACTACCATTCTGAATTGAGGAGAAAGCCATTTCTGAAGCGCTAATACTGAGCTTCAGATTGTCCTATTGACTATAGTATTGAAGCCTGTAAACAGCTTTCAGGTGGTCTTGCGCTGATACCAATGGAGGTTGAGTACAGTTGGATGTTACTTGGCAGAACAAAGATTTGTAATTGAGGGAGGCTTCAAAAGCTCTTGTGGAATGCTCCGTATGTAATGGCTGCATTGACATTCTCTTAGTACAGGAACAAAATGGAGCAAGTGAAGGCAGGCAGTGTGGCCTACTTGAACTAGCAGCAGTTATCTGGCATTGCAGGCTCCAGTCCTTTATGCCATCAGCTAAGTACGTCTTCTTCTGATGCCAGAGAATGAATCTGGAACCTTCTACATAAAAAGCTTGTGCTATGAACTTTGTTTCTTCCACTGTAGCTGGAAAAGAGCAGGAAAACTCATCTTCACAAGGATCAGATGCATGTAAAAGAAGAGTTTGCACGTATCTGAACCCGTAGGCTATAGTGGTTGAAACAGCACAGTCTCATACATGTCTGCTCAAAAGTAAGTCTCAATGAGAACAGTATATGCCATTTACTTTAGTGTAGTCACTCGCAACAGAGTAGGTCAATTTGAAGCTTATGGAGGAGCTGACTTACCAAATCTCCACTGATTCAGTGGGCCTACTTACCACACAGAATTTCAGCCAATGTATACAAATGGTCTCCTGCTAGCAGTATTGCTCAACTGCTGTAGTTTGTTTCATGCTGACGTCATATTTTTAGAAACTGATGTTTATTTAAAATAAGGTTTATGACATGGGCAACTGAAAATTTATACACATTTTACACATACGAATTGTCATTCTTGGTCTCTCCCCTTGAGATTTTTAAGTTAGAAGATCTACATTTAGACACACAGTCTAAAAAAAAAAAAGAACAAGCACTTGATTTTATTTAAATGCAAAGTACTTAACAGAGAGCACTTTACATTCTGTGTGGCATGCTAATAGAACTATGGTAAAGTAAAGGAGAGAACAGAAAAAAAGGGGAGGACATTGTTAATAAAAATCCCCAGATACTGCATTCTTTAAAGCACTGAGAAGCAATGCTTCCCCTCTCAGTGCTGATTAAAACATTTGAAATGCTTTCACTCTTGGAATAAATATTGCCTTATCTTCACGTTCCCAAAGGGACAAGAGTCTACAAATAATATT